TACAGAACCGTATTTTGTATCAGACCGATTTTTCTTAATTGCTCATATTTTATTTTCGTTTACGATATTAAATAACTCCGAGGGATATTTGTTATATATTTTTTTTAATGTGAAAAGTTGCCAAATGAGCAGACGGTTCACCTGAAGGTAAGTGAATACCGCCGCCCATGGACATCTGCCACACCCGAGGGTTGACAATGCGTTACCAACCTTTTGAAAATTGGGCTCCAGCTACCTCACTCACCAGACGAAACGCGAAAGTATCTGTCATACTTCCACTTTACACTGGTCTTCTGTGAGGTCGTGGTACTTACCCGGACGGGCCTGCCCATTCGAACAACAGCCGAGGCTGCTGCGTGGTCCTACCACTGTAAATATTAAAACGCACTCTAGCGATATATTTACGTTATTTCACCGTTTATTCTTTAGTAGCGGTCTTGAACATTTCTACAATAACAACATAACGGAACGAGCTTTAATTAACGTTCATTATATTCGCAAGATAAATCCTTCGGCTCCCACGGTTTAAATGGACAATCCGAAAAAAGTGTAATGTAAATAACATATTTAATCGAGTTGAACTCGAAAAATCTGACTGCAAATTGCCTTGAAGCGCATTGGCGCCAGCGAGAGCTGACCTTACTATATGTGGCGTTGGCAGTCTTATCACGCATGTATTTATAGGTATTGAAATAGGTACTTTGACTTAAAGAATTATAAAATAATTTTCGTCGGTGTTTTTGTTCTATCATTAACTTTTAAATACTTTGTGTATAGTACAACTATCGACCCGCACCTGTTTCGCACGGGTGCAATGTATTATACATATTAACCTTCCTCTTGCATCACTCTATCTAGAAAAAAAAACCCGCGTCAAGATCGGTTGCCTAGTTTTAAAGATCTAAGCATACATAGGGACAGACAGACAGCGGGACGACTTTGTTTTATACTATGTAGTGATGTATGTTACTGATGTGTTATGATGTGTATGTGATTATTTCGTATTATATTTTTGCGTTCACAAACTTTATGAACATGTATTATTTACAAATATGTTTTCGTATACCTTTTTCTTTCTTTCTTAATTTTCTTTTTTCTTTCTTACACACAATGTCTTTCGTAATCGAAATTGTTTGTAATGAAGATATTGCAAAAGGAGAAACAGCCGTTGCGGGCAGCGTATTTGCAGCGCTTCTGGTATTGCGAATGTTCAACGACCATCAGACGACCCGTTTGGCCGTATAAAGACATTCGAGTCTTAGTTTAAGTCATCCGCCTTCCGATAACGCAATTAATTAAAATTTATTATCTACTTTCAAAGTTGGGGTTCAACTTCATGTAAATAGTGCTTTGCTGCGGCCAGCATGCTCATAACAGTTTTCTCGTGCCCGCGTGAATATTACGAGCGTTTGACTTAACAAACTTCTAGTTCCAACGTAATAAAGCTAGGTTAAAGGAAAGTTTCAATCGCTTTCCTTACTGTAAAATTTTAAGGGATGCTATAATATTTCTTTTACGGAGATATTATTGTTATCTGTATTTCGGGTGTCAATAACTAATATTATTTTTTTATCCATATTATATATTTCATTTCAATCAATTTTTATGGTAAAGAAACATTGCCCTTACTTTAGGATAACATTATTCTGTGTTGTAAGGACGTTTTACAAACATAAATTTCACGTGGACACTCAGATTCGGAACAACTATCTGTGCGTCACACAAATATTTGTCCCGTGTGGGAAAACGCCGAAGCCAATACCTTAGCAACGACGCCACGGAGTCATCTACTATTTAGTTAAAATTATAAGAACAGACGTACAATAAAGCGACTTTATGAAACTGCGGAACTGCGGTAAAAAATCGTTATGTGGATTACAATGTATCCATAGAGATATAGAGGGAAATGTTTTAAACAACGCATATACATGGAAAGGCTTTTAGGAATTTGAGGAACTACACCTCATACATGTACTGCTTTGTGTAAATTTGATTCAGCTTTACGATTTCTTTAAAAGCTTTTCGTATGTCCTCAATCGCCCTACGTACATTTCCACTTAAATCTAGATTCTGTAAAAGGAGACTAGTAAACTTTTTAATTGCAATCCGTAGATTGCAATTAAAAAGTTTACGATACCTATAAATCTATGACTCCGTGGCGCAGTTGCTAAGGTATTGGTTTCGGCGTCGGGGGGTCGTGGGTTCGATCCCCACACGGAATAATTATTTGTGTGACCCACAGATAGTTGTTTCGCATCTGGCTGTTTGTCCACGTCAAATTCATGCTTGTAAGCGTCCGTACAACACAGGGTAATATTATCCTAAAGTAAAAGCAATGTTTTTTTAAAAACGAAAATTTAACCAATATTGCAGTTATCAATGTTCGCGGCTATGGTTGTATCATTGCGGCGCAATTAAGTTCGGCGATACAACTAGCGAGAACTCAACCGAATCGGCGATGCAAAACGCTGACACTTTCCGTTACGCGAATAATCGGCGGCCGTTGCATCGTCGGCGCGCAATTGTCATTTGCATAAGCGACGGCGTCACTACGGTCGTTGGCCGTAAACGGTGAAGTGATTAAACGCACAGAACACTCGTCTTTCACAAGTTGATACCTTTTTTATGTAAGGAGGTGGCAAGCGAGCTGGTGGTTCATCTGGTGTTAAGTGGTAACCGCCGCCCAAGCACATTTGCAAGGTCCTCAGCGTGCAGATTCGTAGCCTTTAATGAAGTGGGTCCTAGATACCTCACTCACCAGAGGAAATGCGGAAGTGTAACTATTCCACTTGACGCCGGTCTTCTGTGAGTTCGTGGTACTTCCCTGGGCGGACCTGCCCGTTCGTTAAATCTTCAAGTTTAATATCTCTCTCAGTATAATATGACTTTTTTCTGGTGGAGATCAAAGAGTTGATATTTCTGCCTTGAACTATTATTGTTTACGGTCCCTTTACGCGGTAAAAAATTAAGGCTTGTAAGTCAATGCCGATCACGTACTTTTTATATTCGCAGTCTCGCGTTCCCAATCGGTCGGGTATACGTACTTTCCTTTTGTTTATACATCATGTTGCAACTAAAGAAGTAAGGCGAAAATTGTTAATATGTAATTACCTTTGAGTTTGCGTTGAACACGCAGAACATGAATCTCAGTCGCACATATCCGGATTCTGCTGAAAAAACGTTGCCGCTCACTGTTTGAAAATACTCTCATTTTTTTTGGAGGCAGGTAATCAAATTTCAGGTGGAGACGCACGAATAACTATGTATGGGAACTGACGACTTGACCTTATACTTTGAGGCCAAAAGCTCAGTTACTACGCTTACGGCCCATCAAATTCAAACATTGCGCGGCGCGGTTCTGCCGTGAATAAATAACACAGATCGCTGAGAATTTTCGTTGTTTTTTCCATAGCGATTTAATATTCAGCACTTTTGAAATGCGAGCCTGGCGCCTGTGGGAGACATTGCAATAGGCCGCTTGATTACTTTCGGCCCCAAAACGTATACTTTCAAGAGATTCAGAGTTTTTTTCGAGTTTTTTTTAATCTAGTTTCCGAGCGATCGATTACGGGCTCGCAATTTTCATTACTTCAGAAGTCTTTACTTTTTTTATTGTTTAATTTTCGAAGTCTTATTAATTCCCACTGGTATTATAATTTGTAATACCGAGGAAAATATTTTAATTTATCGATGAACTCGACAGAAACATGAATTTTTTAAGGATTCATATTTGCTTGTTCACGGTCGTCGTAAGTTTTCAATGACTGGCTTGACTGATAACATTTGCAAACCGAAATTCTGCAATGAAACAATTGATCAGTACAGATAAAAGCACTCAACCGAAACCTCAATACATATTCATTTTGCTGTGCCAAAATGTTGTAAGAAACCTTGTGAAGCCCAAAAATAGCCAGACTTCGGCTCGCATTTTGCAACCAGTTTTAACGGCGGCTGTCATTGAATTCTTAATAAAGCTGCCCCGACGAAACAGATAATTGGGTCAACGAGTTATACTCCGAAAAATATATACCTGAAGTTTCCGTCTGTAACATTCGTCTCCAATGTCGGTTTCAATATCAATGAGTTAAAGTTGAAACATACGTTGTGTTAAATTATAAAATAAGTATTAGTCTATGATTATGATATCTGGTATGGGAAGTTATCGCCCATTTTAGATCTTTAGATTAAATATTTCCGTTTAGCACCACCAATATGCTCACAATAGGGAATCGTGTAAAGTTGGTGTAAATCGCATATTTACGTTTTATTCCATATTCATTGTCATACAAATACATATGTATGTTTTATCCCTGTCCGCACATCAATTGACCTCTTGAATGCGGCATTTTGCTCCATTATTATCCATTGAAAAATTGTATTGTATTTAAATAAATAAAGAAGGTTGTAATAAAAGTGCACTTGTCGTTTAAGGACACAAATACAAGACAAACATTTGTTTTATACACACACAAACATCAATTCATAATATTTAGACTAGTTCTATATATTTTGAATTTGTGTGTTTTATGGGAGCTTGGCAGACTTTTTTTTTTTTTCATCCACTATGCTCGAGTAGGTTCTCCCATTCCTATATGTTTCAAACGTAGGCGTTTCACCTGTATTTAGGATCTGCAAGTCCATTTCATTCAGGAAGGTGTTGTACGCCGAACCTCTCGCATCCTCAGTGCTGCTTCCCCACCATTGGCTCCACGCGTTCATGTCTCCAGCCACTATGATGTTGTTAGTGCTGAGTTTTGCGCAGAATGCTTGGGTACGCCTCAGATAGGGCTCTATGTCTTGATCCCCCTCATAATACACGGACACGATTCGTAACTTCAGATTCCCTGCATACAGGAGGACGGCTGCTTCGGTTTCGGTCACCAGCTGTGGGTCGTGTATGACTCTCAACTGGTTGCCAAAAACTATCACAGCGGCTTTCACCGGTTTCCTCCTGTTGAGGGTGCATTGGATGACTCGAATGCCTGGATGTTGCTTGATCACGCCATTTCTTCCCACATATGGTTTTTGCACAAGGGCAACCGACACTCTTTTGTCCAATGCTGCCTGAAGAAGTTCGGCTGTGGCTGCTTTAGATCTATGCAGATTGGCCTGGATGAAGCGAAGGCAGGTATCCGTGTTTCCTGGGGCTGAGCTGTTTTCTGTCGAGGCGCCTTTAGCAATACGATACCCGAGAGCGCGCTATCGCATCCCATTTTTGTCTTTCTCGGCATTCGTTGCTAAATGCGTTAGGTGTAGTATCTGGATGTTTGATGACAGAGCAGTTTTTGCAGAGAGGCGGTCTTCCCTCGACTCTACTGGGGCATTTCTCCCAGGAGTGTTTTCCTCCGCAATGGCTACATAGGGCTTCTTTTTCTTTACAAACAGCTTTAGTGTGGCCAAAGCCAAGACATTTTGTGCATTGCACGAGTGGAGATTGGTCTAGCACCGGTCTTCTTTGGAGACCAATGTAGACCTTTCCAGCTTCCACAAAGCGCTTGTGCAACAGTGGAGTCAATTCGAGCACTGGGTGACATTCGTGTTGGTTCCGCGCTCTTTTCCGGTATTTGACCCATATGCCAGACTCCTTTGCGCTGAGATCCTGCATAAGGTGTTTGTTTTGCGATCTTAAGTTTTCCACTATCTCAGCGTCTGTGACAGGAGAACGTCGCGGATTACTTCAAGCGGGTTACTAGCTTTGGCCACTTCTGCTTTTAAGCCTTTTGCCGCTTTAACCCTATCTTGCACCAGTTGGAGGTCTTCTTTGGTGCTACAGCTGAGGATGATTTTTTGGTTCCTAGCCTTTCTGATCCTATCCACTTTAGCCCCGGTTTTTCTCGTATCCAAGGCTTCCCTGATCGGTTCGATAACATTTTCTCCAGTCTTTTTGGGATCGGTTGAGGACACGATCAGAGTGCGGTTAGGGTTTGGAGAGGGAACATTTGCAACGACTTTTGTGTAGGTGGGTTTTTTAAGTTTCGCATCCCCCGCCTGCGCCAATTCAGTTGCTAAACTTATTGCAGGCGGCGGAGGTGTTTGTTGCCTCGCCTCTCGCATAGTCTTTAGCTCCGAGTGCAATGCCTCCAGGTGCTCTGTTAGGGGCTGCAGGTGTTCCTGAAGCTGTAGGTTGTGATTTGTGTCAGATTTATTTTGAGTTGATATTTGTTTAAGAGTATCACTAACTTCCGAGAGCTGTTTCTCCACCCTGTTTATTTGATCACCATCTTGGGTGGGTGTTGGGTCGTTATCGTTTCCAGGCGCTGCAGACTTTTGTGGTTTGTCTCAAAGATGTTATTGAGGTTTCTCCGCATGTCGTCTATTTGATTGGCCAGCGTTTTCATCGAAGATCTTATGTCGGTGATATCTTTTGACTCTAATGTGGTTTTGCCTTCCTTTTTCGACTGGGCTAGGGTCCTATGGATTTCCTCAAGCCTTTTTTCTGCGTCCTGCAGCGCCTTTTGTGCTTCTGTGGCCTTTTGAAAGGGTACCCTCGTTTCATATTCCAGCCAACTCCTTACATCCTTGGTCTCCTGCAGATTAGTTTTGATGTCTGTCCTGGCATGGGCGAGTTCCGAGGCCAGATCTTTAATAAGCCCAGTCACCAGTTTGTTGTGGGCTCGCTCTACGCGCACTAGTTCCTGAGCGTTTCGAGAGCGCTCCCTCTCTAGGTTTTGTTTGTGACGTGACCTAGAGTCTGAGAGTGCCAGGACCATTTCATAGAGGGATTGCAGACAGTCTAATGTGGTCTGCTTGCACTCCCTCTTCATTTTCCCTGCGGATTCCAGGGCTTCCTTACCTCGCAGCAGCATTTCATTGGCCTCTCTGGTCGCTATATCCATCTCTACCCCCAGTCGCTTGCCAGAATTTATAAGTAGGCTTGGTCTACCTACTTCAGATACCGGCGACCCCGGAAAGGATGAGTCATCGTCTGACACAATGGATCTCGGAGGAATGTCCTCCTGTCTCCAGCTCGCGACTATCTCATACGCTGAGTTGGTTGGATCCGGTTGTGTCAAGTGAGCGGAGATGTTGCTCCTTGCAGAGTTATTCGACCGTGGGGCAGTGATTTCTGGGAAGGATTTTGCTGTCATTGATGCAGCGTTGGCGGTATCGTCCGGAGCTGATGGATTAACGCTTTGGGGTGGCGGCGTCAACCTGTCGATTTCCGTAGCCTTTTTTTAGTAATTTTTCACGCAGCGTTTGCAATGGTCTTGCAGGTGGAATGGATGTGGGAGCAGTTTTCGAAGACGATGAGGTCTCTGCTACTGATGTCTTCAAGGTTGGCTTGTTAGACATTATTACAGACTACTTACAGAGACGGCTTATAAGCTAGAGTTAATCTTATATGTATGTATGTATTTATATATATATGAATTTTTTTTATTATTAATATTATTACTACTATGTTTTTATGGGGGGATATTCATTTGTTTTCTCGTCTGGTTGGGTTTATAAATAAAAATAAAAATAAAGATATATATATATATTGCATATATAAAATAAATATTATGGATAAAAATAAACATATATATATATATATATATATATATATAAATACATATATAAATAGGACCCAACCAGACGGAAGCCCTCGGCAGGGGAGACCAAACGGCCGAGGGTTAGGGCGAAAGGGAGAGAAACCGGCGGACGATGCGGGCGGTATCGAGGAGCACCGCCTTCTGCATTTGAGCCTAGAGCGATCCGTCCCGGAGTCCCAGTCGCCTCAGATGTTTAGAGAGGCTGACTGGGATCAACCCATTCGCAGACACGACTATCGGGATAATTTCGGTCGGCACACCACCCCACATGTCGGTCACCTCGTGAGCCAGGTGTTTTTATTATTATTATTTATTGGGGGATATTCATTTGTTTTCTCGTCTGGTTGGGTTTATAAATAAAAATAAAGATATAGATATATATTGCATATATAAAATAAATATTATGGATAAAAATAAACATATATATATATATATATATATATATATATATATATATATATATATATATATATATATATATAAATATTTTATATAATACATATATAAATAGGACCCAACCAGACGGAAGCCCTCGGCAGGGGAGACCAAACGGCCGAGGGTTAGGGCGAAAGGGAGAGAAACCGGCGGACGATGCGGGCGGTATCGAGGAGCACCGCCTTCTGCATTTGAGCCTGGAGCGATCCGTCCCGGAGTCCCAGTCGCCTCAGATGTTTAGAGAGGCTGACTGGGATCAACCCATTCGCAGACACGACTATCGGGATAATTTCGGTCGGCACACCACCCCACATGTCGGTCACCTCGTGAGCCAGGTCCAGATACTTCGTCTTCTTATCTGTTTCGGCTTTCACGAGGTTCTCGCCACATGGAATGGTAATGTCGACCAAAAATACCCGCGACTGAGCCCGGTCCATCAACACGATATCAGGTTTGTTCGCGACAATCGTCCTGTCCGTAATGATGGACCGGTCCCAATAGAGCCTGGCGCGGTCATTTTCGAGCACGGCCTCCGGAGAGTACTTATAATACGGCAGTTTCCGTTTCACGAGGCCGTATTTCAGAGCGAGCTCCTGGTGTAGGATTCTGGCCACTAGGTTGTGTCTATGCAGATACTCAGAGTTAGAAAGCATGGAACAACCGGAGATAACATGCCGAAGCGACTCCCCGGGATGGCGACAAGCTCGACAGATGTCGACGGTGCCATCCTTTAGGATGTATCTCCGATAGTTGTTCGTCTTAATAACCTGATCCTGTATCGCACAGACAAAACCTTCGGTTTCCCCAAAGAGGTCACCGAAACGTAGCAAGTTAAGGGAGGCAACAGTATCTACGAAAGGCTCGTGTAGAGCCTTGTAGAACCTCCCGTGGAGCTCTTTCTCCTTCCATACGGTCTCTCGGTCGGAAACGCTCAGTACTCCCGGGTCCTGCTATTGCTCATTGGCTAAGGATAGAGGGATAAGTCCTTTATCACAACTAATGACGTCCGTGTAGATTGACTCATCCGATCTCGCCAGGAAGTAGTTGCGGAGGCTGCACACCTCGCGATTGTTCATGGTAAGGGCGCTCAAAAAGCCCCTCCCGCCATGCTTCCGCGGCAGGTACAGCCTCATCACTGACGAACTCGGATGATGCATCCTGTGGGTCATAGTTGTGCGGACTTTTCGGTCCAGGGCATTGAGCTCAGTTTGAGTCCACCTGAGTATGCCAAAGGTATACATGAGTACTGGCATGACCCAGCCGTTAAATGCGCGTGCCTTGTTCACGCCTGACAAATGGCTGTTAAACACCTTTGTCAGGCGTGCAAAAAACACATGTTTTGTGACATACCCAGGTATCGGTATGTTTCAGCCTCAGAGAGGGTCCTTATGTTAACGGGCATAGATAAGTCTATGCCCGCCGTATTATTATTATTTTTATGGGGGATATTCATTATTATTTGTATTATTATTATTATTATTTTTTTATTATGAACTCACTGCTGTGGTTTCTGCAGCAGCGGAGTACTTCGACGCGTCGAGAGAGCTGGTCTTCTCAGTGAAAGTGGCTTTTTTCACAAGTTTGTTCCTTGTCCCATGGTTGGGCTGTGGGATGTGGGAAATTTTGAATTCTGTTCGGGCTGGATTGTAGAGCACCTTTTCCTGCTTATAAAGAGTCCAGACTCGTGGGGTCTTTCACTACTGCTTCCCAAGATATTGCTCGCGGGGATGAGGCAATCTCGAGGTTCGGGCTGGATTGTAGAGAGTCCAGGGGGGGAATGGGGGGGGGGAGAAGGGAGAGTTTCGAGTGGGGGCGTTTGGGAAGATTTGTGTAATTTGGGAGGTGGGTAAGGGGGGGGGGGTGGAGGAGTAGGTGGTGATTCGAATGAGGCCAAGGTCGGGTGGTCAGACGTAAGGGGTCTAGGAATTCCCTCGGGGTTATCTGATATGCTGGGGCGGAATCGTCAGCGGCTTTATCGGATTCCTCGGACCGGGTGCGAAGTTCCCACGTCAGGCTGTTTTGTCGCTCCTCACACAAGAAACCACGTGTTTTGGGGTTATGTGGGGGAACTTTAGGCGGTTATAACTCCACGAAGACTAGTCCGATCTTCTCCGTTGTTTCGGCACTGGATAGATCTGTCTTGCAGCTGTCTGGTAAAAATGTCAGTTTTCGCCTGTCGGTCCACTTGTCCTCGCAGCAGGCTGCCGAGATCGTGACACTCCCGCTCCTCTTCCAGGTGAGACACAGAGTTGCCCACAATAATCCTTGTGTAACACACACTAGTGGACTCTTTGGTGCAACTTTCACTCGCGTAGCTCAAAAATTGCCGATTTTGGAGCAATTTTTCCGGTGAGCTTATGTTGTTTCCACGGTCTTAAGGCTCGTACTTGAGGGTTCCGTACGCAAACGGTAAAACGGGTTCCTATTATTAAGACTTCGCTGCTTGTCTGTCCGTCTGCCACCAGGCTGTATCCCATGAACCGTGATAGTTCGACATATGAAATTTTCACAGATGATGTATTTCTGTTGCCGCTGTAACAAATACTAAAAAAAACACAATAAACAATATTTATGCGGGGCTCCCATACAACAAACATGATTTTTTGCCGTTTTTATAGATCCTTTGTGCGTAAGTCCGACTCGCACTTGGCTGGTTTTACGGATTAATCTGTAAAAATAGTTTCATTCATAACGAAATAAAATAGTGCATTACAAAAACTTTCACTTTAGCCTTTTCTGAGACTAGCCCACCGGTCAAGACGGCCCAATAGTGCAACAGCAGACAATGAAACATTTAAAAAAAATAGTGCTGTATCCCCGCTACAAATAGAATACGGTAACTTTCACTGTACAGACAAGACATCAGCGTACAACTAAATGAACTAAACGCAAAAGTAATCAACTTCAACTTGTTGTTGACAGTAAATTTGGATATGAACTGAATTCGTGTTTGCGAAACGGAGCCAAGGGTCCTCTACGGCATAAACAGCGGGCGGGTGCTGCCGACCGCTAAATAAACTCGTAAAATTGATTAAATTTCAGGAGTTTATTTTAAACTCATAAAATTCATCGAGCCTAAAAAAATATGTTAACCTAATGTAATCTATACTTTTGCTGATATTCTGCTTATCTATATTGACCAAAATAATTTTTTTCTGAAGTCTGTAATATAAATAAGCTATGCTATATTTACTTTTAGTTTTAATTCTTTGGTCCCGTTATAAACTGGCCAGTCGTTTTTGAGATTAGCCCGGGCACGCAAACAGACGAACAGAAAGGACAAAAAAAATAGAAATTTTAGGTTCTTGTTACATCTGAGTAAATTATATGAGCTCAGAAAAAAGCATTTATATCCAAATCACAGACAGACAATTTTATTCATTATAGGTATAGTTTCGATATAACTGACAGTCTTAAATTTATTTATATGCAAGGATATTCTTTTTTATTTTGCACTATCCCTCACTGGGAATTGTTAGTGACGATGTAGTGTATGAACGTACTAACTCATAGTAATAACTTATATATGCGGGTTTCCCTTGTTCATCTTAAATAAATAACGTTCCCGCTCGGAACTCACGAGGGTAGACAAAGATTACGGTCTTGCATTTTACACGATACACCGCACCTTTCCCGTTTTTTACGTCCATACAAGTAAATCGCTGTAACACTCCAGAACATTGTGTAGGAAATATTAAAATCCAATGAAGGAAAAACACGAACTCAGAAAAAGGGGGGACACGGACATAATTAAACGCGATGAAGGTTATTTTACTTCTAAATGTCAAAGATGTTTAGAATGTTTTCAGTTTTCCCGAAACAAGTTTCTTTTCTTGAACTTTAAATCTCGAATAACAGATAATCAACACTTTAATTAATTAAATCTTGTATGAAACATACGCGTTTTCTTGATGTTAGAATGCGACAAGCGATCAGTCGATTGACTATCCCAATATATGTATACAGCGTGTCGTTACCATCGCGACAATAAATGAACACACGGCTTACGCTACTTGCCAATAATCATAAAAAAATATTAACGTTAAACAAAATCCATAATTAAAAAAAATATTTTTCAAACTAATTAAGTAAAAAAGAAACAAAATTTGTAAAATGCTATACAATACAACTCGCGCCACAGCGTCGTATTACAAGCCTCTCCTTCTAACAGTATGTTTTGTCTCTTTTAAATTCATTCAACCCATTCATATGCTTTGTGACCTTTACAAATGAACTTTACGTTACGCTTTTACAGGTAAGGGTGTTCTAAAATTCTTTGTTTTGGAAAATTTAATAACTCTGTAAATATTGATGTTTAAAAAATTTAAATGTTTAATACAACTTCAAAAATTTATCCCCTATATGTGTGTTCATTTATTGTCGCGATGGTAACGACACGCTGTATATTCACAACGCTCATCGGGCTACAGAATGTCTTGCCAACCTTTAAAGTGCGCCTCAGTTACCACACTCACAAGACAAAACTCGGAGATACAATAATTACAAATCACGTCTTGTGTGAGACCGTGATCCTCCCCTTAACCAGCTTGCCGTGTAACAGAAGTATATCCATGAAATGTATGTATGTTTTTGCAACCCTTGCATGGAATTATTAAGCTCGTAAAAGACGGCATAAAATATTTTCTGTTATTAGTTAACATGAGTACGCAAATCGGCAATTATTCTCGCAAATGGATATGAGAAAGCATATTTGCTCTTGGGCTTAAGCTAACGATTGTTAACATAAAGCTTACAATACATTCTTAATATTGTACTTAAGTAAGGAAAGACGCACGTTTGTTCAAGAATTATCATACTATGGCTAAAACAGCGTTAGTGTTTAGTTATAGGCTTACTTATAATAGTACAGTTATTGTACAAATAAGCTGATTTAGCTAAATATAAAACAAGAAACATTGATGCTCTACCAAATGAAAGGATTTTCTTCCATCCGAGTCTATAAGTACATAGTTTTTTTAAAAAAATCCTCCATTTTAGTTATCATCAACCTAGCTCTATTATGACAAAATTTGTTATTAAAATTTGTAGAAAAAGTACGAAAATATTGTCGCCACTGTGGGAATCGAACCTATGTCTTCGGCATTCGCGGTCTGACTGATCAATCTTAAGTGCAGAGAGTAGCACTATAAAAAAAATTAAATTTCTACATTTTTTTATGTCGTAAATAAACAAATATTTAATAGCGAATTATTAAATCGCATTTAAATCTTATTGGTAGAAAATTATGTCACATTGTAAAACAATACGTCATTCGCAAACATTGCATTTGTCGTAATCAAATTAACGTGGACTCATTAACTGTCACGTTGTTTAAACATGTTACGACGAAGGAACATAATTACCGAGAGATACAATGTAATTAGTTCTACATCTCATTGTAACGACCCAGCTTATTTAATTTCGATTTAGTATCATCTATAAGGGCTATTATTCATTTGGGATTTGAGACTGGTATTTCAGGAAAGCTCCATGATATTAGATGAATCCCTATATAGTATCATCAGAACTATAAGCGTAACTTCCTGTAATACAAAGAGAGGTAAAAGTTTCAAGTATATTACTACTTTAATCATAAATAACAATTAACAATTATAATCAAGTTGAATTAACATCATTTAATTTTAGTTAAATCCTTGATTTGGTTATTTGTTGATACATTATTGGCTAATCTCCATTTCAGATTTGAATATATTACGGTAGGAGTTATAGCACTACAGTGGTAGATACAAAGCAATTTATCAATGTTCCTAAGTCAGTGTAATTGGATGTTTGCACCGGATCGCGTGAACTTATCTTCGATCATTAATAAGCCTCGGCCGTACCAAGAGGATTGAAATGTAAGGTCTCGAATAATAATGTTGTTATAAAGAAGAGAACGTGTCGAAAGATTGTATTAAAAAGTAAAATACAAATCTTTTAGGCTGTCAAAGCCGTACTCGGTGAGGGCTATATTGTCTATCAACAACGTGGGACTGTAAAGTAACAGCCCATATATTATATGTCCCACTGCTGAGCAAAGGTCTCCTTGGTGCGGAGGGTATTATAGCCCACCACTCGACTCCACAGGATTTGAACTCTGGTCGCTCGAGTATACTTAATTAAAAGCGAGCGGCCCGGCTGTGTGACTACGGCCGCTGGATTATTATATAATCATCACTCCAGTCTGTTTCAGTCCACTACTGAACAATGGACAGTCTGCATCTGGGGTGTGAGGTAACCGGGGCCTACTATTTTAACGATTCTGCTATGATAACGATTCTGCAACTCCTCTAGTGTTGTGTCCATGGCGGTTATGACTTAACATCAATTGAGCCGATTGGTTGCCAGCTTATCGTATAAATAAATGAATTTAAAATTAAAATTAACCAGTTTGGTTTTATTAAAATGAATTTATTAAAATATTCGCTTAAACAAGAGAAATTAGCTTGGACGTGTTGAAAAATAATGGGGATTTAGTCGATTGCAGGAGAAGTTTTCACTTCAAAAATAATTATTACCTGGCTCTAAACATGAATTGCTGCGATGTATTGTAAAAATTATATAACTTTTGAAGTGTGAACTTTGAGATTTTAATCTATACCAAACATTTAGAGCGTAATAAATTACACATACATCTTATCAAATGCTGCAATCTTAACATAGTAATAAGTGCGAGTTTCGCAGCGAAGGTCGGACCGCGAAAATGATATTGTAATGTTAACGTCATAACTGAATAGCGACCAAAGCTTTATGTCCCATTGAAAATTGATTCCCATGCGCACTCGGTGGTTGCAGCTCGAGTGTGGCAAACTAATTCTCGTTCCACAATGAGCGCACTTATTGCCAAGGCGGCCGGTGCTAATTATTTAACTAAATAAACCCCGCTTGCTTGGTTTGCCCACGCGAGATTATATCGGGTGTTTGTTTCCCAGATTAGTGCAGGCGTAATGCAATTTTACTTTGAGGCAGACCGTAGGTGTTCTTCCCACGACCACTTCAGACGCTTAATGATTATCAGACGTGTATCTTTGTGCGCTGAAGCAACTTGTGACCTGTTGCGAACTGCATGAAGTCGAGTAGGTCGACTGATATGTTTTATATGTTGCAATTGTTCCTATTCATATTCATATTCACTCAACTCTGATGACTGTAGTGTTTAGTATAAAGATAATATCTGTGGTAATAAAGCGATGCTAGCCTGTTTGGGAACGTCTTTACTGTGTAACACCACGTTTGTGATGTGAGCTGTAAGGCCACGCGACAGCTACTGTTCCGCGAATGACTCGGCTCGAGTGGGTCAATATCTCGGCCTTGCAAGAAACATTGTATTTGTGTTTTGTCTGGTGAGCGAGGCCCTTAAAAGTTCATAACCTGCGGATCAATTCTATGATGACTACGGAATAATTGACTTGAAGAAAAAAAATACCTGTGACTGCGGGTAGACGAGTGTAACCCAAGTAGACTGCACCGTTGAATTCAAAGTTTATACGATTTATGTAGATAAAAAAGTATCACCATACCAGTCTCTTTGTACAATAGTCTCACTAGCTCTCTCTGTCCATTAATTTAGGTATGAAAATGTAAGAAATGAATAAAAAATCAGTACTTATACAAATTGTATCATTGAAATATGTATGCAATGCCAATTCATTATCGATAACTTCAGTTTGGTAATTAGGTTATATTTGTGGAAATATCATAAATATGCATAAGAAGTGTACTGCATTTTCTAGTATGTAGAGTACGGTTTATCGCTAATCAACGGTATAAAATGGGCAAATCGCTGGCCTGACAGTTTCAGCGTATGTCTGAAAAAATGACGCACGCAGCGTAACGGGTAATTACAACTGACTGTGGACCCGTATAGGCTAGGACAAGCCACCATCATGGGAACGCTTTCGAACTGTCAACCGTCAAGTTTGCTGCGCACGCGGTGAAAAAATTGACAGCTATTAATTCTAATGTATTCAATGAGCATACTCGATAATTGGTTGGTTGTTATTGCCATCGTTTGAGCATAATGTAAAATTTATATTATTTAAAAATGTGTGGAGAGATATAAAAAATAGAGACTCTGTTTCATGTCCAGCGCTGACACTGGCACCAAAAATTCTTCTAAGATTTTTATAAATAGGCTCGTTTAATCATTATTAGATCTTGACTTGTATTACACAAACCTAAGTTTTACCAAATGTAAACTAGGTACAAGTACTAGTTTATGGTTCTGTAACATTTCCTTTTGTTTTTTGGTGTTCAATAAAGTATATACAGCGTGTCGTTATCATCGCGACAATAAATGGACACACGTCTAACGCTACTTGCCAATAATCATAAAAAAATGTTAACGTTAAACAAAATCCATAATTTAAAAAAAAATATTTTGCAAACAAACTAATTAAGTAAAAAAGAAACAAAATTTGTAACATCCTATACAACTCGCGCCACAGCGTCGTATTACAAGCCTCTCCTTCTAACAGTATGTTTTGTCTCTTTTAAATTCATTCAACCCATTCATATGCTTTGTGACCTTTACAAATAAACTTTACGTTACGCTTTTATAGGTAAGGGTGTTCTAAAGTTCTTTGTTTTGGAAAATTTAATAACTCTGT